TACATACATACATACATACATACATACGTACGTACGTACATACATACATACGTACATACATACATACATACATACATATTCACAATCTCGACCTGGCCACTCACCTGCTCATCCACTGCCGTGACACACACCCTGCCCGCATTGACATAGTAGTCGTTCACACTAGTATCCTCTGCATGGCTTGTTGCATCGATGTCATGTGTTGAGTCAGCATTGCTCCTGCCACATCGGCCGAGTACTGTGAACTGCACAGCACAGCGGAACACCCCAGCCACAGTGGCTGTGAGTCCCAAAAACGCCGAGTTGTCACGCGGGGAGAGACTTGTGGCTATCGGGCGCTTTTGGTTGGGTGTTGGCGTACCAAAGCGGGAATCTGGTTGGACAGTGAGTGGGGGTTTATATAGGGACGTCAGAGTGTTGAGACCTAAACTGTAGAGTGAGAGTTTGTGCATGTGGAGAGAGAGACAGGAAGGTATCATCGTGTGTGTCGAGTGACCATAGTAACTGCATGTGCGTGTGGCGAGAACCTCCTATCTGCATATGTATAATCCATCTACCCCCCAAATACCACGTATACCTACACTCCAGCTACACCAATCAGCTTTGTCGTGCACCTCTAGTGTGCAACCAACCATGAATGCTATGCATAACGAGAGACGAGTATCCCGGCAAACAAACGAGCTATGTGTAATACAGCTCACGTTGATACCTTACCTGACTCGGTTGCTTTCGCGGGAGAGACCGCCGGACCGCTTGCGAGCGATGACGGACGTCTGTGAACCAATCAAAACGAGGACAAGCAGGGAAGCGCACCAATGAGATTAAGATATTGGAATTGACGTACCAATGAAAATGAATTTCGATGTATAGCAAATAAGGCACGATTGGGGAAGGGGCTACTGGGACTGAAAGAAATATCATCCGATCAATGAGGCGACTCGCAAGTATGCAGTCCTTATAAAACTCCCTAAACCCTAAAACCCTATGAACCCCCCCAACCCTAAACCCTGAACCAGTATCTCCGACAAAACGAAGGCACAGCGCAGAACGGTAGGTGCTGTGGAATATATATAGCGACTGTAGCAGATTCACAGAAGAAACGCAACCAGCAACAGTGGGGACCGCGCAGACCACACAACTCCAGCGGATAGAACAGAAGGCCACCATTGTAGGTAAAAACCTGTCCATTTTCACACGCTACATTGGGATATGCACACATACCACACAACTCCAGAGAATAGATCAGAAGACATCCATTGTAGGACAAAAACAGTACATTTTCACACGCTACAATGGCATGTGCACACAGACCACACAACTCCAGAGAATAGATCAGAAGACATCCATTGTAGGACAAAATCAGTCCATTTTCACACGCTACATTGGAATATACACAAAGACCACACAAGTCCAGAGAAAAGATCAGTAGACAACTATTGTAGGACACAACCAGTCCATTTTCACACGCTACAATGGCATATGCCCACAGACCACACAAGTCCAGAGAAAAGATCAGTAGACAACCCCTGCAGGACAAAAACGGTCCATTTTCACACGCTACATGAGATATACACCCACTCATTGCCCTGCGCACAGGTACCTTCCCATCGCGTCCGTAGTTGCTTTGCCTGGGCTGGGTGGTTGGGATTGGGAGACGGACTGCGGGCGTGACTGTGTGTGTGGGTGCTGGTGTGTGCTTGTCTGTGCCAGCGTCCTGTGTGCATTGCCGTGTCTGTCAGTTGTGTACAGTGCGATGTGCATCTTCGGGTCCCACGAAGCCATCCAGGCCAGACTGTCGTGGATGTCCGAGATCCGTTGCCTTGGAAACTCGGTCAGATTGGAGGGGGTGTAGGTAGGCCCTCTTCCACTGGCCGCAATGGTCCGTCTACGCTTGACCCTAAAAAATCAAAGGGACAGGTCCGGAGTGCTTATGAGGACAGGACATGTCAGTGTACGCCTGAACATCGCACGGGAGGAGATAAGGACACCGGATGTAGAGGACGTTTTCTCAAGGAATATAACGGGAGCGGTGTGCGCGTGGGCCGTGTTTGCGTATGCCGTCGATACAGATGAGGTTAGAAAGTGGTTGAATGATACAGATGAGGTTAGAAAGTGGTTGAATGATATAGATGAGGTTATAAAGTGGCTGAATGATCCAGATGAGGTAATAAAGTGGTTGAATGATACAGATGAGGTTAGAAAGTGGTTGGGTGCAACGGATGTCCCCTTCAGGGATATGATGGGAGCAGTGTATGCGTGGTCATTGTTGATAGTATGTAGTGTGGATGTTAATGACAGTATGAAGTTTACGTACGGCTTGAATACAGATGAGGGTATAAAGTTACCGGATGAAAGAGACCTTTTACAACTACATACAGAAGAGTGGCGATATTTGTTAGTGGGCAGCAATTGTAGCGTGATGGGAATTTGGTAGTGTGTAATTGCAGTAATATGATCATCATCCTTTGTCAATAGAGTCGATCTAATGGTCGGTGTTCAGAGCAAGTTACCTGTTGGTTGGTTCCAGATGCAGATGGTTCTCTATGGCCACTGATTGCTGCGGAAAGTGCTTGTTGAGTTCGTTGGACAGCATTGTGTGTGCGTATTTGGTGTGTCTCAACGCCTTCTTCTCCCACACGACGGCACTGTCCATAGAACGGAACGACATATTAATATTAATATGAGACAGTAATAAGAACCATGAAGAGTATCCCAGGGGAAGGCGCCACGAGTATCGGTAGCTTAAGAGTTGTTTTCTCATATGCAGCGTCCCCGTAACCATTGCCTGCCTTATGTTTCTCGTTGCCAGATACAAATGCGTTAACAGTGATTCATCAGTAGATGGAGAACACTCTTGCTTACCGGTATCACTCTATCGTCTAATACTAAACCCTAAACCCTAGACCCGTCGCACAAGCCATCAGCCAATAGGATCGAAACATACCAGACACAGGCAGAGCAAGTATAGAAAGCACAGAAGATAGAGGGTAAAGAGGCCACTAGCTGCCTTCATTCAAAAAAAGTTCTAACCCCATTTTCTATTCAAGGATACTTACACACGCACACGTACACGCACACACGCACACACG